ATGTTTATTGTTTAACGAGTGACGAAAATAGCAGTTTTTAAAATATGTAGGTAATGTTTTCAAGTTGCAGAAAATGATTTTTGACGAAAGTTGTTTATTTTTCAATCGTCAGAAAAAAAGTTTTTTGCAGATGCTAGTTTGTTTGTGCAATGAAAGATTTGGATTTTGTTGGAATTCTCGACATTTTTACACAACAATTATTATCAAACCCCAAGAATCGTGAACAGGATTGCTCATCCTAATAAGGCATACGTTCACCAATTCTTGAGTAGACAAGGTCTGCGAATGACGTCATCACAGCAGCTAATAGTGATGACGTCACCTACAGACCTCGATGGAAGGCTTGCGATTCAGGTTGTGCTCGTTATTTGAATTTTTCGTCGGTTTTAAATGCAGAAAGGGTGATTTGAACAAGATTTTAACGTTTAGGAATTCGTTTTTTTGACCAATACTATAGTGCTTTGAACTTGAATAATACATTTTACTCCAAGAGTTGAGGTCTGCGGCTGACATGCAGTTGGCAGACACTTTCAGCTTTCAGCTCAAGCAGTCCTAGTAGGGATTAAAAACAGGATAATCTCTGCCATTTTCTGGACACCTGAAGCAAAGATGATCCGTTTTTTTCCTACGAATGTGCTGAAAAAAAAACTTTTGGCATGCACAAAGACTAAAGAGTAATCTTTCCGGAGGCCCTTGGGAAAAATTGTGTTCCTAACACTTGCGAGAAATGGTATTTCCCGAATTAAGCCTAGTACTCAAAACTGCGAAATTCGCACTTTTTTGACATTGCTTCGACAATTTGACGTTTGATACACGCATAAAACGTCAGATTGTCAACGCAATGTCAAAAAAATGCGAATTTCGCAGTTGTGAGTACTAGGCTTTAGATATGAAAACATTTTCCGCCCTGTGGGAGAACAAACGACTTTCCAGTTCCACTCCAACCAAAAGGCAGTGCTTGCTCGTAGAAAAAAATTATTTATATATTTATTTATACTCCTTTAAAATACAAAATTTGTAGTTTCAATTTTATTCAATTTTCAATTTATTCATATGCAGCACAATCAAATTATAAAAAAATTTCGCTTCTAGTGGATAAGTATAATAGCTAATAGCTAGACTTCGCCACACTGAAGCACATTTTTATTTCAAGTTTGTAAATTCCAGAACTTATTTTGATTAATAAAAGTCGTTTTTATTTATTTATTATTTATTTAAAAGGTTATTATATTCTCTATCATCTCAAAAGACAGGGATAATAATAATAATAATAAACTGTGGTGGCGTGCCGTGACGCTGATTCCAGTCCCAACATGAAAATACCAAAAGTTGCAACGTCGCATATAAATTGTTTCGAGGATTAGTTGTATTCCTTTCACACCTATGAGGAGCTCCGGAATAGCTCCGGGGCGTTACGCGCTTATTCCTTTTGTGTGTTTGTTGCACCCAGGGGCGGATTAAGACTTTTTTCGCCCCTGTGCGATTAGAATTATTTCGCCCCCTTCCAGGCTCTGGGTTATATCATTATATTTTATTTTGTTATTTGAAGATTCTTCAATATAAAAAAGACAAATACTTAGTATTTTGAATTAAAGATGGCAAGAGACACGTTGATTAGTGCCAAGTCACTTGTCTTTTCATCTGAATGTGTGTTTCTAAGAAAGTCTTTAATCCTCCTTAGGGTGGAACAACACATCTCTCCAGACGCGTTAGCTCTATGGTTGCCTTCCATCGACTAACGCGATGAAGGCAACATAGAGCAAAGATACATTCTCAATGGTACCTCGATATTGGGAAATGTTGAGATTAGTATTTCAGACTTTAAACTTTGTGGAAGTTTATCCAAATTTAAGGTCCCATCGTGACCACTAGAAATCAGGAAATATTTATATTGAAGACATTCCTGAGGAAAATAATCGTCCAGATCGTTTTTACATGCTTCCTCAAGTCGCTGCGCTTTTGTTTATATTTCTTCGTCACATAGAGCACTTTCCAAAATTCACCGGTTTCTAAACCGGTTTAATAGTTCACTCACCAAATCGTTCCAAAATGTACCGTCTTTTTACCGGTTGAACCAGATCGTCCGCTCCAAAATTGACCGGAATGATCTGCTGTTTGAAACAGGTGAGGCACCGGATCCACCAGGAATTTTTGTCGGTTTTTTCGGTTGGAGATTTTTTCACACTTTTTATGACGTACATCAATTTCTTTGAATGGGCATTAACGGGAGTCGTTCCTTGAACTGTTGCAACACAACCGCTACAACCAAACTTTAACACACCGAAGCGTTCCAAAATGCATCAGAAAAATCTTGTACCGGATATACACCTAACTTTTACCAGAATTTTTTGACAGCTACCGGTTTATTTAACCGGTTAATTTATCGGTGAAATTTGGAAAGTGCCCATAATATAACAAATTTATACAAAAATGCAGTTCCAAGGTCAAAATGTTGTCATATTGTGTGTAGGAAGTCCAGTTTTTGTCATTTTGCTGTTTGATTTTCGCCCCTGGGCGATCGCCCACTTCCGCCTTATGGTTAATCCTACAGTGACTCTATTTCCCACAGTGGCGACAATTGCTGTCTTATTTTTGATTGGTTCTAAAATCCCATATATTTATTTAGAAAACGCCGCCATCTTGTTCCCATCTATTGCTTATTTCAAATATGAATATATGGGATTTGGGTGAACATCCATCACAAAACATGGAAAACAACGTATTTGATGGACCTAATAATAGTCATCAAATACGTCGATTTCAATTTTTTATGAAAGATGTCCATTTAAAACTTATGAATTCATATTTAAAAGTAACAAGAGGTTGGGAACAAAATGGCGGCGGGACCTCTATTGTCGCCACTGTTTGTAAAGGTTTATTTAGCCACTGTAGTTAAACCGGCTCTGGTCTGGTTGCACCTGAGGTCCGGCCCGTATTCATAGTCGATGCTCAAGGTTGCATCTTGGCTCAAGTACGACTTGACGCCATATTTGCTATTCCAAGCAGCACGAAACGATGCTTACAACTGTCAAAAATCGGAGCTAGAGCCAAGCTCCCGTCTATGAATACCGGGCCAAGCACGAAGTAAACCATTTGAATGCATGCAAGCCAGCGCATCTGTTCTTTTCAAATCGGGGCGACTAACACCGGAGCGAGTAGCTCTAGTGTTTCAAACTCTTGAAAGGAATACAGCTATTGCAGATGCGACAGATTTTTTTTACTCGTGACTTAAAATTGAATGTATATAAGTAGACAGGTGACAGTTGTCAAAATTTTCATCTTTATGGGTCTTGGAGCTATTTTCCGAACTCCGCTATTGTAAGGGAGGATTTTCATGCATCCGTTTTTCCGTCGAAATATGTCCGAAAAGTCTTCTATTTTGACATATTTATATACGATTATGTCAGAATAGAATGTTAAACGGACATATTTCGTCGGAAAAACGGATGCATGAAAATCCTCCCTAAGCCGCTTTCCAGCTGACCATTTTTGAGCACGCAATCGAGCTTTTGCGCACGCAAATGCTTCAAGTCCGTGTTTGTGTTCCAGCCGTACTGCGCTTCGACAGCTGCTAATTTTTGCACAAACACAAGTCAGCTGGAAAGCGGCTGTAGGTAGGTACCTCGGTAGGTACAACAGGTGGGAGAACAAAAAGACCGCATTTCTCAGAAACAACAAAATATTTTATAGAAGCAAACACCAACACGATCAATTTGCCATTTACGTACCTACTCGGGTACCTACTAATAAATAAAAAAACTAGTAGGTTTAGGTAAACAAAGTTTTCAGTTTTGTTATAGTATTAGCATTAGCTCTGTGTTTATTATAGTATTGTTCGTTTTATTAAAGTGGCCCTAGAAAGTTGTCCATATGCAAACCAATACTTATGTTTTATAGACTTGAGGTGTTTTCTCGTGTCTCAAATATTTTAAAACATTTTTCAAAACTAGTTTAAAACAGTTTCCCACGACGACATAACTTTTCGGCGCCAGAAAATAGTCTTAAACCGTAGATTGGATAGTATTTCGCAACGGTTTGAACCAATGTGTATGTGACGTCACTGGTTCATCGCGAGAATATAATGTTTCAAACGCTTTGAACCTTTTTCAAAAAAGTGAATGCGAGAAAACTTAGAGCCATTTTCTCGCGTTTACTTTTTTGACATTAATTGGCTCAGAACCGGTTTGAAACAGTCAATGGAAAGATTATTGCCCGTTTCAAACCTGTTTTGAACCAATGTCAAAAGAGTGGACGCGAGAAAACGGCTTCGGTTCGACGATGCTCCGGAGACCGGAGCAAATCCTTAGTTGTATTCTTTTCAAGAGTTTAAAACACCAGAGCTGTTCGCTCTGGTGTTAGTCAACCCCGATTTAAAAGGAACAGATGCGCTGGCTTTCATGCATTTAAAGGCCGGTTTCTCAATAGCAGGTCACCCCTAAGGATAACTTCAGGGTAAATATAGCAACTGGACACGCTCACCCTGGAGTGCGTTCGAAATCACCCTACTGGGCGTCACTCCGAGTGCACACCAGCAATGAATAATTATTCATACCTGGTGTGCACTCGGTGTGACGCCCAGGGTGATTTCGAACGCACCCGGGTGACTCGCTGTTGAGAAACCGGTCGGTTTCTCAATAGCGAGTCACCTCCGGGTTGGTTTCAACCCCAGGGTAAGCGTGTTCAGTTGCTATGTTTGCCCCGAGAAACCGGCCCTGAATGGTTTGAGTCGGGCTTGAGCACTCAGGTGCAATAAACACTTTTCGAAAGGAATACAGCTAATGAGTGGTGTTATAGCCTTGTTGTACGATACGTACTCCGTGCGTTCATTCCGAAAGACAAGTGTGAAGGAGTTGTGGTCGTCAAACCAACCCTATAATCTCGATCCACACATTGAACGAAAATAGTTTGCGTAGTTGCTGTAGCAAAACTGGAAGCGCAAACGCCAGCATTCCATGTGTGGAGGCGGCCTTAACTCTACCAATCAGCTGAATCCGATCAGCTGGTACTATTGACGTTTGTTTAATGTTGATAACAACAATTATTTTTGGACAAAACAAAATATAAACAATTTTTAATGATTTATCAAAAAATTGGTTATCGTAATCAGAGAGTCTGAGATGCGCAGTGAATAAAGGATCGTTTTATTTTTCAGTATGGTGTAAGTTTCCTCTCAAAATAATTCGATATTCAAACAAAATATGAAAAATAAAGTGGATTTAAAGGTTTGTGGGGTGTGTGGAGATAAAGCCTTGGGATACAATTTCAACGCAGTTACGTGCGAAAGTTGCAAAGCCTTTTTCAGGAGAAATGCACTTACACAAAAAGAATTCAGGTGCCCATTCGCTGATGATTGTAAGATAACACCAGTAACTCGAAGGTTTTGTCAAAAATGTAGACTGGACAAGTGTATTACTATTGGTATGTGTAAAGATCTGATTATGTCTGAAGAAGATAAGGCCCAGAAAAGACAGAAAGTTGAAGAAAACAGAGCTAAAAAAAGAAGCATAGGAGGATCTGGATCTAGCAATAAGAGGATGAAAAAAGAATCAAGTTTAACTGATTTGCAAGATAACGAGATGTACAGTAGCTCCTATAACACGGACTCAGATCAAGATAATAGTGTATCTGAAGGGTATCAGCTCAATAATCCAAATATTGTTAGTTATAATCCAAACCAAGAAAATAAAAACACCGTAAATGATGAAAGAATAGCTTGCTCAGATGAAAAACCAAGTGATGACTCTCTTACATTCCAAAACCTCACTCAACATTTTTATAATGTGAATCATTCAAATTTGGATCCTGCCTTTTTAAGTAGTTTTATGAATAGCAATACTGTAAACAACAATGAGACTGCAGTCCCTGTGCCCAGTTATAATAATAATAATTATACAGCTTCAACTGAGAATAGATTGGGTGAGGATGCTTCAAGTAAGGATGTACCGAGGGATGTACAAAGGTTAGTATGTATCTAACTCTTGACCTACCTGTACTGGTCACATCAACAAAAAAATCTTAGATACCTATTTTGTTACAATGGGTACATTCAGGCGGTCCCAGCGGCCAAGTTCAGCCACTCAGCAGGGACTTTATTATCGAAACCGAGGAACAGCATTTTCAAGAAAACGATTGCTCTGTCATTGTCGGTGTTATAGAAATATGAATACAGACGACAAAGACAGAACCTTTGTTCTAATAAGAACGCTACGTCCCTGTTTCGAGAATAAAGTCCCTGCTGAGTTAGAATAGAATAGAATAGAATATAATTTTATTTACGGACATGCCATTTTACAATAAATAAATAAACAATAGTAATATAATAATATATAAGAGTTGCTTAAACCTAAATTTTCAGAAAAAAAGTGTAGGTATATTATTATCAAAAGAATTTAACCGCATGTGCAACATGCCAAATAGAATCTAGAGAAAAACATTTAACACATTCAAAACATTTAAAACCATTTGAAAACTTTAACAACAGATATGTGGTAACTTCTTACAGCTAGTATTAAATAAATGTAAAAACAATTATAAATATAAAATATGAACATATAAAACTCTCAACAGGATAAAAAGCACTATGACTAGATGGATTTGATTTTGTTTTTAAAGCTATGCAGACTTATGTTAAAAATATCTATATTAAGCCTATTTATCACAGAGTTTGCCAGTCTAGAGAATCTTGTTAAAGGAGAATAGTAACCATAGTTAGTACGGTGATTTTTAATAGAAAATAACCTATTGCTCCTAATATTACTGCGGGGAATGTTTAAACCTATTAATGATAAAAGCTCGGGTGAATCAATCATGTTGTTAATTATTTTATATAAAATACACAAGTCCTGCTGGTCCCTTCTTTGTTGTAATGTCTGCATATTTAGAAGAGTCTGAAGTTCATCATAATCAATAGAATCATACTTAATACTCAACTTGTAAGCAATAAATCTCAAAAATCTCCTCTGTATTTTCTCTAATTGATATTTATGTTTATCATAGTAGGGTGACCAAACAGGGTTAGCATACTCCAGCACTTGCTGAACTTAGCCGCTGGGACCGCCGGAATGTACCCATTGCTTCAAGGAATACTACGAGGAATCCTATCTCAATCAAAAATTTAAATTTAAATATTCGCGATGTAGGTAGTTGAGGGTAAAAGTCGAGGTAAAAGAAGCAGATCCAGCTATGCCTTGACTTAGACACACACCTTAACTGCAGTTGATGCTCGAGTTGATCGTTTCCATGAACACGAAACAAAAGTTGTAATTAAATGTATAACTACAGCATGATTCAAAGAAACGTTTCATTTCATGTACCCTATGTACCTATAATACATTAGAAGACAAAAATGCAAGTTTTAGTGAAAACATGATACCTATCTCAAAAACTCGCTCAAAAAGTAATAAACAAATGAGCAAAACAGCGAAGTGTTTGTAGGAAAGTTTTCTTCTAAAGGCATGTAAATGATTTGTGTAAGACTGATGACTTTACACCTTGAATATTTTTGGTGCTATACTTTTGGAAAATCTTTGGCTCCCATCTCTGTTGTAGAAGAGCACTGTTATAATTTGACCAGTAATTTGTCTAGTAGTGCGATCGTGAGTGATTTATTTTCTTTTCACTTCTTGCATTTGTTATTACTTACTGATCTGATCTTGAAAATAACTTGAGAAATATCTTATCTTGATTGAATGACAAATTCATTGTATTTTGCTTTATTAATTATTATGTAAGTAGGTGTTATTGATCTATTATTATTTAAAATAAAAGAACACCTTGTTAAAGTACTCAATACTCAGATACCAGTGCTTCTTGCACGTGTTTAGAAGATTACCTGTAACCTTGCCTGTAAGTTGCGGCCATTGGAATTGGCACCAATTTTTGAACGCATCTTGTATAGCATCAAAATTTGACTTTTCTAACAAGCCGTTAATGCCAAAACTATGTCAGTTTTGGCTTTATACAAAGTGCGTTCAAAAATTTTTGCCAATTCCAATGGCCGCAGCTGTACATAAAAGCTTGCATACAGAGGATTGTTGAAAAAATTTAAAAAAAAAAAATATAAAAAAAAAATTAAGTATAGGTAAACAATGCTAGAGTTAAGAAATTAGTTCAAATTGAACGAGAAATTGAATTATAAAATGACTCTGCTGTGCAATTAAAAAAATTAATCATTCTGTGGCTTCATTCTTTCAGGCTGTTTCACGGCCTACTTATTAAAAAATTTAAAATATGCACTTAAATATTAAACTTTAGATTAGATGTATGTTTTTTCCTTGGTTTTTTCACAGAAAAAAATCCAATTGAAGTTTATGAATAATTCGCATACAGCTCTAGGATAATATTGGGTATTCTAAATAATTTTATTTTTTAGTCAGAAAAGTCACCCATATATACATCCCTTTGAATCGATACTATCAGAAGCCATAAAATTAGAATATGATACATACTCTTCAATTGCTCAAGGAAGTTCACAGTCAAGGCAGTTAAACGATGCAGAAAGAGCAAAACTAAATGAATTAGTATTAGCAAATAAAGCATTGTTAACCCCTGTAGAAGAAGAACTTGGTCTTCTTGGGAATGAATTAAAAGATGTTGTTAAAGTAAGTGAGCAGTCACTGTTTTTTTTTTTTGGAACAGAAAAATTAAATTACAGACAAAAATATGGTTTATTTCCGTATAATAATTATTTGTACAACCTTTTAATTTATTTTTGACATAATTTTTTTAAAACCATTTATTTTCCTTATATTATTCATTGATTTTAACTGCTGTGTCAACAGGCATTACAAATCTTATCAATATACTGAACAGGTGTTCAAATTGACAATCTGATATCATTCCTATCATTTTCATAAGAAAAACAAAAAAATTATGACTCAGCAATATAATGAAATCAAGGCTAAACACCCAGTTTAAATCTTAAGGAAAATATATGGAATTTTTCTTCAGAAATTCTTTACAGAATTTTCTGCAGTAATTTGTGATAATTTTGATGAAAATAAATAAGAGAGCCCAACTTTTTACTTGTTTTTCCTATATATTTAGAGTAGTAAAAATCCTCGGTAAAATATGTTTGTATTATGTAGGTACTTAATTTATTCTTATACGTTTTGATTGATTTCTATAGAATCAAATGTCAGGCCAGAATCAGCAACAAACAGATCCAGCATTATTGGATCTCATCAATTTAACTGCTGTTGGTATAAGACGGATAATAAAAATGGCCAAAAAAATTAATGCATTTAAAAATATGTGCCAAGAGGATCAGGTTGCCTTGCTTAAAGGCGGTTGTACTGAAATAATGATGATGATTAGTGCCAGGAGGTATGATTCTACTAAGAATTCGTGGAAGGTGAGAATAAGAATTTCAGGTTCCCTTGAATTTGCAGACTAACTAAATTTCTCTTTTCAGATCCCTTCAATTCAAGAAAGTCTGAACGTAAACGTGAACGTCCTAAAATTAGCTAAAGGTAATGCATATCAAGAATTGGAAAGGTTTATTCGAACTTTTGATCCAAAATGGAGAACAGATGAAAATATTATTTTGATTTTGTGTGCCATTGTACTGTTTACTCCTGACAGGCCTAGGGTTATTCACCAAGATGTGGTTAAATTAGAACAGGTGAGTACCTACTTTTTAAAGAAATCGTTGAGGAAATTGTATTTAAATGTTACCTACATACATGTATGTATGTATGAAGGAAAAGTATTATTTTATCAGGATGAACATACTCCTCAAGATTATTTGTTGGGAGTTGAGTCTGTGGTATAATTTGACAGCTCATAAGTAGGCATCTCATTTCTTTGGGATTTTTTTCTCATTACTTGTGAACTGCAAATCAGTTGTTTCATAGAATTGTGCTGATTTAAATAGGCGGACATATTATCATGATATATTGAAAGAGGAGATTCCAAGAACTCGTATCGTCATAAAAACTAAACCAACATCCAACAAGCCCAAATTTCTTACTACGGGTACATTTTTAAAACATTGTTAAGCCTAGTGCATAGCTGATCCCCGAACCGCCTATTATATAAACCCCCTCGAAGACCCCCTTTAATAAACGATAGAAAGCTTGCTTCACTAGTGTGTGTCCACTATATCTTCCCATTATGGAAATGGTATGCTTTTAGGGGATCCTAATATAAATTCGCTTTCAGATAAGCAAGAATCTCAGTTCTCATATTCAATCCAGAAAATGTTTCAGTTTTGTCAGAATATTCAGGACTCGATTCAGGACCTCACTACTAGAGTTACTAGAACCAGGAGTAGGTAGTTTAACCGATATTATTTGTAGGTATAGATTATAGATTAGATATAGTTAAACATTGTGGTCTTTTAATCTTGACTGCAGCGAAAAGTGTTGGGTGAAGGACAAAGTGAGATGATAACTTCCTTCCCCAGGGCAGTTTCTTGGACCTTTGTTATTCAGAATGTGTTCTCCTGATTTACCCAAGCAGGTACAGTTCTGTTCCATATAACTTCTTGCCCAGAAAGTTCTAGTTTAGCCGTCAGTCTGGTTAACCGAGGCCTGATTAGGATATTTGATGTGCCAGTAAGCATGTGTTGCACCTTAATGCCGAAAAAAGTATTAACCTCATGGCCTCGCTGGCCGAAACAAAACCGTCTTAGTCAACTACACTACTATGCACATAAATGCTAATGAAGTTATTAGTTATTTGATCCGATCAAGCTAGAAACTTGGAGCCTAATTTTCCGTAGTACTTTGCACTTTGAGGCTCATATTGCCTCAGCGAATAATATTGATGCTTGCTCAATCCTTTATTTGCTCACTGCTTCTCTACTGTGTTTATCCCATATTTTCAACAGCTGAGCATCAATAGCATAAAAATAATGTTTGTTTTGTATATGAGAGTGCCAAATGCTACTATATCACTTCTCTACTTATGTTGATTTTGGCTAATTGAAATGGTGTATGGATCTGTTTTTCAAGCTCTCTTTGTATGAATAGTGAAATATTTTATTGATTTTCCACTTTAGCTAATATACATTTCGAGACTGACCATTCTCTGTCTCAACCTTAAGAATGTGGTCAGATTTGATTTACCTCCCCATCCAATCATAAAATTCGGAGTTGCTTATGTATTTGGCCATTAGCCGGTTGATCGAAAGTGTATCATTTATTGCAGGGTTGTAGTGCTAAGGCTTTTGAGGTGAAATATTGCAGGCAACTGTTGTCCCTACAGTCTTTATGAAGCTTGTCTCTCAAGTTTTATGGAGAAACGCCCCATGCGTGGATGTGTAATTTCTTTCCATAATTTATATCTTTTGACAAATTTTTTTTCTCTTGTATACATTGTGTAGGTATAAGGTTTGTCTTTAAGCTCTAGATTTTCTCAGATGTTAAATTCGAATCAAGCCTATCTTTCTTCTTTTACAACAGCTGCAAGACGAAGCATATGAATACTGTTAAAATCGACAACCTGGAAGGTAATGGGTTAGTTATGATATAGTAGCCACCCTGCATTGACAATTATCTCTAGATTTGTTGGTTTGCAATTTAATAATTGGCAAACTCCTAATACTTTTGGATGTATAATATTCTATCATAATATACTAGTATGAACACTGTACAATTTGTTTTTGATCCTGAAGAATATGTTAAAATAACCAAAATGTGAGAATTCGCTATTTCATAGCTAAATGACATGTTTGTTTGGTTTCAGAACTCCTACTATTATCTTCTGAGGAGATATTTGGAGAGCGTATACGCTGGCTGTGAAGCCAAGTCGATATTTTTGAAATTAATGCAGAAAATTATGGAACTTCATAAAGTCAACGAGGAGCTCATCAATGTTTTATTGGACGTTAATCCATCACAAGTAGAACCGTTATTAATTGAAATATTTGATTTAAAATGAGAAATTTATACTTAAAGGTTTTTATTGAGGTATCTAAAAATTCAAAAGTATCCTTTCAAGTTACAATCCATTTTTCATAAATATGTGACATTAATAGACATTCATTTTCATATTATTTTCGTCTGGTAAAAATAATTCCTGAGTATTTTTTTTAATAGACTATGTATATACTTCCTAGTTCCTAATGTATTCCTTCTCACTATAAGAATTGAAGTCCAGACAAAATAAAATTACTGCGTCTTTTGTTCAGCTTTTGAAAAGGTTATTTTCTATTTAGAAAGGAACCTGAAGTTTAAGAGAAGAGCATAACATGACGCTAAACACAATAAAGTACCTATTCAAATTAATATTGACAAATTCACTTCCTTTAAAAATATAAAATGGATACTAATGTTAAAATAGAACATATGACCACCTACCTATGAAAGTTGCAATTTCTACCATATTTACATTATATATTTAATTGACTATAGGAGATTAATAAGAAATATTTTCAATTGTTGTAAAAATACACCTAGTTTTATACTAAAGTTCCACTATGTTCAAACTCAGTTTTGAAGAGAAATTTTTAATAGAGTGGGCCATTCGCTAATGTATTTGCAAAAAGTTCCTATTAATTCCATGCAATGACTTGCTAGTTTATCTATACATTCTTTGTCTATATACCTATGGAAATAGTGAAAGTGTAAAATATAAAATGACATATTTTGCCCTAAATATTTGCTCAAAAAATTTAAACCTGCATTTTTTAAAACAATATGTATGTAACAACCTTTAGGATAAAAATAATTTAGATGCTTACTGCATTTTGATTTTATTTTTAAACAAAATGTATTTGGACATATTTCTCCAATTTGCTTTAGTACAAAATACTGTATTCTATCAACGAAAAAAGCTGAAATTATATGATAAAAATACCTACTATAGTTGGGCCACCGAAGAAAGATAGTAATAAAACCGAGCATCCAACCTCTGAGGGGCTTGACAGGCAATAGACGAGAGGATTTATACCGAATTTATACCTTCTTATAATAAATAAAATTTATTAAATTTATGAATTCATATTTTATAAGGCAATATGCATAAAGGGTTTCATTTGATATTCACATTCCAATTACTAAATTATTTTGAGTTAAAATAAATAAATGAAAGGCAAACAACATCAGTTTCAAATGCACTCCACTATGAAAATGTCTGCTTTTGAGAGGGTGTCGGGATTATTCATGGGGGCCAGTTACCAGGTAATCGTTTTATTACTATCTCTGTTCGGTGGCCCGACTAGTTGTACTAGTAGTAACGTTGTATACTCATTTTTTTTTGAATTGGCGATCAACGCTTTGGATTTTATGTTTTGGTTGATTATTTATTGATGTATGTATTTTATTTAACAATTTAATTTATGACAGTTTTATTACTTTTTAGAAGCTAAGGAGTGATCATAAATAGAAAATATATGTGATAAAAATATGCAGTTTAACGCAATAATGTACAAAATAATCTTTATAGAAAGTAAATAAACGAATAAATTTTTTGGTGCTAAGTTTATAGAGAATAATAGTTTTATTACAACAATAATTACAAAATTTTAGGGACGACCATTTTACAAGAAGCCAATTTCTGCAATAATGGCGTTTCCGATTGGTAGATCAGTGCGCACTTAGTATGCTTGCATTCTTTTATTCGACCTGTAGAAGAAAAAAATGGAAATAAAAGATATTGCACTAGTTCCGCACTGGATCTACCAATCGGAAATGTTATTAGTATTATCAGTGGTTATGTATACAGCATTTCCCTAGCTTTAAGGCAGCACCAATAACATTTTTGGATTTTTCTGCATTCCACTACGGATTTTCCTGATCTATGAGTTTGATCAGGAAAATACAATACAAGGTGTTTCACACAGAGGCGTTTTAGGGTATTTTAAGGTCGATTTAAAAAAAACGCTCAGCACGTCATTTTTGTATTCAAGAGGGATACTTTTTAAATCCATCGGTATTTCGCTAGGGTGCACCCCCTGGGTGCGGTGACTGTCACCCCTCTTTTTTAGATAGGAAAGATGGTTCGAGTGGTACCTTGTTTTAAAGGTATTTCGATTCTCTTCACAACTGCGGATTTTTTTTTGAGAATCGAATGATTAGTTCTTAAGATATTCACTGTCAAAGTTGCCATGGGCTAAATAAGAAATAATCTTCTGGCCCTGTTATTCATTCATTTTTTCAGGACACCAAAAATAAAAATTGACGTGTCCGACAGGAAAGTGTTAATTTGAGACTAACAGGGCCAGAATTATTATTATTATTTATTATTTAGCCCGTGGCAACTTTGACAGTGAATATCTTGAGAACTTATCATTCGATTTTCAAAAAAAAATACGCAGTTGTGACGAGAATTAAAATACCTTTAAAACAAGGTAGGTACCACTCTACACCCATCTTCGCTATCTAAAAAAGAGGAATGAACGTCACCCCACCCAGGAGGTGCACCCTAGCGAAATACCGATGGGTTCTAAAAGTTTCCCCCTTGAAAACAAAAATGACGAGTTCAAGCGTTTTTTTAAATCGACCTTCCAATACCCTAAAACGCGCCTCTGCACTGTACATGTATTTGTGTAAGATCGTTGTAAGATTGAAAAAAAATGCTATATAGAGCATCTGCCTTATTAAAAAAAAAAATCAAAAAATGTGGATTTTATCTAAGTAGAAATTCACAATTAATGGTTCTGGAGCACATTTGACCACAAGGATAGTAGACTGTGTGCATACCGTTTGTCATGTTTACAATGATTACCTAACATAATTACTCTTGGATAGTTCATTTAACACAACATCACACAACAACTGGTAAATAAAAAGAAAAGTGCAGAGTCTCACAGAAATTTTCAACATTCTTCCAAGAAATAAACTCGAGTCAATTTTAGCATTTTTGGTCTACTTGCGTCTCTGAACTTTGAGTTATGCAAATTGCTAGCTGGAATATACTTTTTTTTGCTCACTGAAGAGTCTCACCTTGCAGGACTGCGGTAAAGTGACTGCCCCCGGTACTTAAAATATGTACCTAAGAAGTAGCTATCACATAAATGAACTGAAAAAACTAAAGTAGGTGCTTACTTATTGAAATACTGTTAAAAGTATTAATTCGAGCACAAATTAAAATTACATACTTAAGTTCATTTCGAGAAACTCACTCGAGACCTAAAGTTAACAGCAGTTTATTTCGAATGAGGGGGGGATTCGTCGGTCATAGTACATGAATTCACTTTTATACTAGTAGGTGCCCAAATTTATTGAGTACCGACTACTCAAAGTTATATATTTTATTCTCTTATATAATTTAATAAACTCTTCTAAGCATCACTATTTTAAGTACTTGGTAAAGTACCTTCTTGTTTATGTAACACAGAAGAAGCTCAGAGATCCAGCATCCAACCCAAATTTGTCATTTAGCTGAAGACAGGTTCAGGAATTTAGGATGTGAGCAAAAAAAAATACAATTATTTATTACAATTATTTTATTGTTGCAGCTTTATGAAATTATTATTATTATGTAGGTATACATCAAATGTATTTATTTTCAAGAGGCTAGTGCCTAACTGTGAATAGAAAATATTTAGAAAAACCACATAATTCGTTTACTTTTATCGCCAGGGTAAATCTGAATCATATTTTGGGAAAATGCAATTTCAAAACGTTACCATCCTACTTTTGATTCCAAATACTTAGATGTAGGTACGCTACTCCTAGATATTTCTCGTAACAGACACTGTTCTTTTTTTAATACCACTTGCTCCTTCTTTTCTTCCCATTACAGGACTACTTCCAGTCCCCATATTTCTAATTAAATTTTTTAAACTTTTACCTTGTCCGTCAATTATATTATTTTCTTGGGCAATAATATAAAAGTCGTCCAGTAAGTGTGTAGGAGGTTCTACTTGGCAGGAAGCTACATTGGCCTCCGTACCACGATCTATAAGTAGAGCTAATCTATTTTTTAGTGATTCATTTCTTTGTTGTAGTTTCAATATTTTATTAGTATCTTCTTCAAAATGGATTAAAGATGGAGTTGGCATGTACTATAAATAAAATCACAATTTGAATTGATATAGAACCTGTATACTAGGTATTTCACAAGAGCTAGGTAGGTACATACTTGAAAAATTGTTGCTAAAAAATTGTGCAGTGACACCAATAAGCTATCTTGCCACTGTTTCGTGCAGTGAAAAGAAAATGTGGGATTTTCTTCTATATTTTTTATGTAAGGTAACACTGAAACAAAAAATGTACGTGGGTCTCTCAAAGAATTAAAATGAAATAGAGTATTACCAAACCAATCTTTCCACTCGGCCTGACTTTGTAGCTCTGGGGTCATTTTGAGAAAGAAGTCAATTACTTTATCTGGCTTATTATTTGATACAGCATTAATTACATATAATTTCAAGACAGCATTCTCTAATTTTTTCACACCTAAAATAAATTTCCAATAATAGTAACAAGTAGGGACTCGGGATTTTTTTCTTACTGGGTGCGAAGTGGCTTTCAATTTTATTAAATATATGGTTTTCAAAGTGAGCCCACAGTTCTCTGACTCCATTGAGATCATAGTTCGAAACCAGATGCATTATTTGCTCGATTATTTTGTCTACTCGAAAACTTTTTTCCTTGTCTGTTTTTAGATCAGCCTCTAAAGACTTCAAGGTACTGGCGAAGCCCCTGAACACTAGATATTCCCGGATCAATTCTTCCATAAACTGAACATGTGCCATTTCTAATACCCCACTATGAGACTTTTTTTCCAATATTTATAGCTAGAAATCCACAAAACACAAACCAAAAGCAGTGCTACAGGCACAAATCAAATCTCTTCCAGCTTCCCTTTGTTGTTGTATTTGCTATTTACATTACATTACATTAAAAGAAATAAGAAATACGAGAGGAGGGTTTATCGATAGCATATCGATTATGGATACGAATTTGCCATATCGATAAGGTTTTGTCATATCGATAAGAATCCAGTCGAGGCAAGACAATTTTTGTCGTCAATTTTAATTAACGTCTGCATGCCACTTAATTCTAACACACCGCAAAAGCAAAAGTGCAAAAGAGTAGGCAATTTTTGGCGAGGATAATCGAGCATAATCTGATGCTGGGTTATGTGATGTGTCAATTGTGTCATACTCCCCTAAAGCCTTTTGTACTCATAACCGCGAAATTCGCTCTTTTTTGACATCGCTTCGACAATTTGACGTTTGATTCACGCATAAAGCCTAGTACTCATAACTGCGAAATTCGCATTTTTTTGACATTGCGTTGACAATTTGACGTTTTATGCGTGTATCAAACGTCAAATTGTCAAAAAAATGCGAATTTCGCAGTTATGAGTACTAGGCTTAAAACATCAAATTGTCGAAGCAATGTCAAAAAAGAGCGAATTTCGCTGTTATGAGCAGTGATGTGCCTGTAGACAATGTCAACGTAAACAATTGATTGTCTACGTGTAGACAATTCGAATTGTTTACGTGAGCATTTGTCTACACATTGTCTACATGCGGCGTAAACAATAACTTATTTTAAAAAATTCGAAAAAAAATATCAAAAGGTACTATAATATCACTATCACTTCGATACAAGCATTCACTGATTATAAAATATCAGAAAAACCAATAATAAAATAAAAATAAATTAAAAAAAGGTAAGTGTGAGGTTAGAATTAAACGTCATTTATATTATTTTACATTGTTGACACGTTGTCTACATTGTCTACTCGTAAAGTAGACAATGAAAGTCTACGTGTAGACGCACATCCCTGGTTATGAGTACTAGGATTAACTCCCTCACCATCAAATTCTGGGCCTGCGAGTGACGTCACTAACAGCAGCTTGCAGTGATGACGTCACCCGCAGACCCCGATGGAATGCTTGCGATTCAGGCTGTGCTAGTGAGTTAATTCTTTCGTCGATTTCAAATGTAGAAAGGTGATTTTCGGTCTGTTCTCACAGAAGAAATTAATGCCTCATTCTCACTTGCGCGAAATTCGCTCTTTTTGCCTGAAATTCGCTCTTTTTTTCGTTTTTGCTTCGACAATTTGACGTTTTATGCTTGTATCAAACGTCAAATTGTCAAAGCAATGTCAAAAAACAGCGAATTTCGCGCAACTGATAATAACCTAATACTGATAACCGCGAATTGCGGATTTTTTTCTATTGGTTGATTATATTTAAATTTGACAGGTATAAATATATTCGACCAATAGAAAAAAATCCGCAAAATAAAAATCCGCAATTCGCGGTTATGAGTACTAGGCTTAAGCCTAGTACTCATAACAGCGAAATTCGCTTTTTTGACATTGCTTCGACAATTTGACGTTTTATGTGTGAATCAAACGAATTGTCGAAGCAATGTCAAAAAAGAGCGAATTTCACGGTTATGAGTAGTTGTATTCCTTTCACACCTAGGAGGAGCTCCGGAACAGCTCCTGGGCTTCACGCGCTTATTCCTTTCAAAAGTGTTCGTTGCACCACGCATCTGTTTCCTGCAAATCGGGGGCTACTAAGCACCGGAGCGAGTAGCTCGAGTGTTTCAAACTCTTGAAAGGAATACAACTAGCACTAGCTTTAGTGTTCTTGATCCTTGATCCTCGAGTATCCCAGAATTTGATGGAGGGGGAGTTAGGGGAGTATGACATAATTGACTCATCACATTATCCAGCATACTCGAGTATGCTTGGTTATCCCCGCAAAAAATTACCTAGTGTTTATTGTTTTCAAAACTTTGGGCGAATTCTTTTATTAAGCGATGGATCCATCTGCTGCCAGCATTAAGAGACAGCCATTCCGATTTCTATGAGCTAGACAAAGATAAACTGGTGAATAAAAGAAAGCGCCCATTGTGTTTTGAGTGGTGACAACTGGTACGCTGCAGTTGCAAGTTAGCAGCTGAGTACTGGTGAACGTACCCAATATTTTATATTTTATATGATTGGCTAAGGGCCGGTTTTTCAATAGCGAGTCACCCCCCGGGTGAAGCATAACTTCAGGGTAAACATAGCAACTGGACACGCTTACCCTGGAGTTAAAACTGACCCGGAGGTAACTCGCTATTGAGAAAACGGCCCAGATTCTGTTGGTATTGTAAACTGTTTAAAACCCGTTTTAGTTCTGGTGAACCCAGCCAATATTCGTAATCACAATAGTTGTAATCCTTTCACACCTAGGAGGAGCTCCGGAGCAGCTCCGGGGCTTCACGCGCTTATTCCTTTCGAAAAGTGTTTGTTGCACCACGCATCTGTTCCTTGCAAATCGGGGGCTACTAAACACCGCAGCGAGTAGCTCGAGTGTTTCAAACTCTTGAAAGGAATACAACTAATGGCAATCCAAACAAAATGGCGGTCAATGCATGGTCAATGCCAAAAAATTGGCGCCATAAATTTAATTCAAACAACCGTGACATTTTTCATCAAAAAACTGTTTTTTTGTGTATTTTGTGGTGTTTTTAGATGATTTTCTAGTGTTTGGAAGGATAATTTTCGTATTTTAAGATGGGAAACTTGTTAGTTTAAAAAATTATTAGTGGAAAACCCGGATGATTGCAAAAGTTATGATTTCTTTGTGACAAACCTTTTCCTACTAAACAATTAAGTAGGTACTATCCAGGATTTATTTCCTGTTTAGTTTTTTCTTAACCAAATCCTGAATCCTGATGTTTATTTTATTTGTCTGCTATTCAAGTTATCGACACAAGCTGATGTGGAGGGATAGTAATAAATGGCTTGGATCCATACACCATTTATGTAGAGAGACTTTTTGGTTTTTTAATATGGATTTCGTAAGATTTTTTCTCTTTTGCTACAATCCATGAAGCCCTCACAAACTACAGACAAATCATTTTTCTCCGTTAAAAAACCTATGTTTTGTTTCTGCAGGAACGGCATGAAACTTGACTTTCTCGCGTTTAGAACGGCTCCCACAACTAAGTACAATACATGACGTATGCATTTTCCAAAAAATCAACACTTTACAGACTTTATACAAATCAAAAATCGCAATACAACGGCATTTTTTTAAATAAAAAGGCATTGGCCTCCATTTTGAATTTCATTTTGACAGGTCGTTAGATTGCCCTATAGGCAATTTTTCGCGAAGATAACCCAAGATAACCAAGCTTAGATTCTGGGATACTCGAGGATCAAGAACACTTTATTTCTTCTGTGAGAACAGACCAAAAATCACTGTTTCTACATTCAAAATCGACGAAAAAAATTAACTCACTAGCACAGCCTAAATAGCAAGTATTCCATTGAGGTCTGCGGGTGACGTCATCACTATAAGTTGCTGATAGTGACGTCACTCGCAGGTCCAGAATTTGATCGAGAGGTAGTTAGGGATTAAGCATAACTCCAGGGTAAACATAGCAACTGGGCACGCTTAACCTGGATTTAAAACCTACCCGGAGGTGACTCGCTATTGAGAAACCGGCCCTTAGCCAATCATATAAAATATAAAATATTGGGTACGTTCACCAGTACTCAGCTGCTAACTTGCAACTACAGCGTAGCAGTTAAGGACAGTTGAGATACAGAGGATGTAAATAAAGTTTCTGAACGGCCGACACTTCTGCGCATATTATGTGAAGCATGTTGAGTTAAGCGTAAACTTCCGTAGATTTCGAGCCGGTTTCTCAATAGCGAGTCACCTCCGAGGTTAATTTTAACTTCAGGGTAAGCGTGTCCAGTTCATATGCTTACCCTGGGAGTTATGATTAACCCGGGAGTGACTTGCTATTGAGAAACCGGCGCTTCTACCGCTAGGGGTAGGTTTCTCAATAGCGAGTCACCTCCGGGTTGGTTTTAACTCCAGGGTAAACGTGTCCAGTTACCATGTTCACCCTGGAGTTATGCTTAACCCGGGGGTGACTTGCTATTGAGAAACCGGCCCTAAATATTCTAAATCAAACTTGCAAGCAAGCAAAATACCTAAAATACGCAGCAAAAACACACAATCAAAATAAATTTGCTTGGTCGCCACGCCATACGGCATTTTGAGCGATTGACCAGTCGGTACCTTTGACAGATGAGCAACGCATTACGCATTTTACGTCATTCAAGGACCAATTGGTTAACAAATGACATCTACTTCATGTTTATCTGTCAAGTGTAACCGACCGGTCAAAACGCTTGAAAGCCTCTTTGTAAGGAATTGCCTCTAGTGATGTCAGCATAACCCTATTTATTTACAGTAACCTCAAATGGACTTGTCCTGGAGACTCTGGAAAAAAACATTCCAAAACAAAATAGCTCAGCTCAGGCCCAAACGCTCAAACTGCGAGGCGAATTCAAAAAAAATGTCTAGGATTTTGAGTAATATTTTAAAAAATACAAATAAAATAGCTACCACTAAATATCTATATGCCCAGGTAAGTAAATAACATAGTTAAAAAACTTATTCAAGCCAGATATTTTTCTGATCTTTACTCGATCTTTTATACTAAAAACAATGTAAAATTTAAAGGTCCCCAAGGAGAAACATGGAAGGGATGTAATATGTAAGCAAGATCTCCGATATTACTCTCAAAAGCTTCCACAAAGATCTGTTAGAGAATTAGGCAAAGGAGGACCTATAACATGGCGCAATCTTACTATAACATCGTTATTAGGAGGTGCTCTTCTAGGATTCATGTTGTACTTGAAACATGAAAAAGAAGCAGGTTAGTATGTAGGTATAAAAAGATTTTTAGGCCTGCTGTTCACTACCTCAAAATTTAAAAATATAACTAACATTTAAACTAGGTGAACTAAAAAATTGCAAAGTTGAAAGCCATTTTCTTAGGTGAAACCTCAAATTCTGAGAAATTTAAGTTTACTAGATTTACAATAACAAACTTTCAAATGAGAATTAGATCATTCTAATTCTTTCAGGTTCCTTGGTCAAGGTAAGAGGTTAGTCCTCAATAAGGCATTTTTTCTTTTTTTGTCAACATGGTCTCTGTGGTAAAGCAGGCATTTTATAAATAGTTAGTGATGGGCAGATTCCCAGGAAAGTGTTTTTTGGGAAAGTTCCCGGGAACATTTCGAGGAACGTTCCCTAAAATTGGGAATGTTTGCAGAAACTAAAACAATAAACAAAATTGCCTGCATCTATTGAAGAAAAACAAAATTTTGAAAAATAAACTTGTTTTATTCGATAATGCCGAGGATAATGCATTTGAAAAATAAATACTAAGAAAATAAAAAATATTTATACCTATGTGTACTCTGTACTCTTGAGATCAGTGAAAAAACTTAAACATTATTACATTACTACTGTGTACTGCAATATTGCACATTGTAACTATAGAATAGACGCACACACATATTAAGTAATAAAAAAATAAAAACTACATTTAATTTTTTTACCTAGTACTAGTAGAAAGAAAATAGCTATTTTTCTAACGAATGCTGGAAATTTCTTCCCGCAAGAGTAAGGGACTATATTTTTTCTAGGAGCATACTAAAGGTGATGTTATGAGAAGTTTAATTTAAATAAAATGCGATTGTGCACAGGGTCGTAGCCAGGGGGGGGGCATTGGGGGGCAATGCCCTATCTTTCAAAGGATCATGCCCTACCTTTAAAACACAACATGCGTTAAGGTTTCTCTGGGATATCCAGAAGTAGATAATGAATTGGCCTGAAATCGAGTAACTGCGAGGATAAGGGTTTCCGAAAACTTCTAAATGTATACAACAATGTTTGACGTGAAGTTTTTCGTGTCGAAAGAATGTGAATGCAAGGATAATATACACACTATTACACAGGATTGCTTATCGGCCTCGTTTGTGTAAATCGCGGCCATATGGTGTAGCAACATTGACGACATCAGCTTTGTTCCAACACGTCTAGAAACCGTCACGCCAAGCCAAAAATTTGTACGTAGAACCCTAAATTCGATTACGGAGTGGTTTCGAAACCGTTGATGGGACCTCGTTAGTTGTTTGCGTCAGCGGTCGTAGTTTAGAAAGAAAGAAAACTATGAATAAAATGAATGATGGTAGAAATGGTCCAGGAGATTATTATGGATTATTTTTCTTCCACATACTTTTGGTGACGATGGTATATTTATGATGAAAAATGGTATTTAATTTCGATTAATATAATAGAGAACAAGAACTGTATAAAAGAAATAATAGACAAAGAGGAAGATGCAAACGAGATCTAGCGTTATTTTAGAATGTTAATTAATGTACTAAAACCAAGTATGTATAAAGCACAAGCCCGCGGAATCATAACCTATGGTGCAAACCCCCTACGTAAAGGCAAGAAACGACACGCTGCCTACGTCATCACTGGTTCTTTGGCGTGGTGGGGGGCTTGAGATTTGATCTAACAGGCCTTATGAGGATAAGCTATCCTGTAGTAGTACTTAGTGTGTATTATCCTTGGTGCGAATGGTTCAAGGCGACGCGAGTCGCGAGAATCAGCGCCATTTCGTTTACTTGCCAGATATGTTATTTATTGAAAAATTTGCTTTCGGCGCCATTACCCCCCATTTTGTTTACCAATAAAAAATTTAAGGGTGGGGGGAGGGAAAGTAGTGCATGCCCTATGTCAAATTTGTCATGCCCTATCACAAATTTGACTCTAGCTACGGCCCTGATTGTGCAGAAGGTAAAATTAAAAATGTATTAACCAGTATTTACAAAAAAAAGGTTAAAGGTAAAAGTAGTGCGGGAAGAATAATTTTCCGCACGCTCGTAGAAAAACTAAATATTTTACTCTGAAAAAAACTAAATATTGTATTGTAATATTGTACTAAACCCTGAAAATCTCAAAGTGCTAACAAAAAAAGACAACTTGTTAATTGGAGCCAATATCATTCAATTTTGTTTTTTCAAAAACATTCCCAGTTTTTGTTCTCTTTCCCGACCTTAAAGGAAAGTTCCTGGAACGTTCCCTGGGAATGGGAACGATCCCTTCGGCACTAAAGTTGATACCTATTCCCATATCCATATAGCAAATATAGTTAACCAAAGTACAGAACCCTTTACCTTTTGGGGCTATTTTTTAACAAAACTATGTCACTAACTTGGTAATATACACTGCTCAACAATCGAACTGGATAATTGCAAATATACTAAAATCCTCATTTAAACAAATAGATAATAAAAAGGTGTTTTATATTATCAATAAACTATTGATTATCAATAAACTGGTTATTGATAATATAAAACACGTTTTTATTTTCTATTTTTTTAAATGAGGATTTTAGTATATTTGCAATTATCCAGTTCGATTGTTGAGCAGTGTATTTGAATATACAGTGCTTTTTGGATAAGTATAGTGAGCCCCAAAAGTGCATCATTATTGGTTTGCTATATCCCAGATTTACTATAAATGGTAAAAAATTACATCATTGTTTTATGGAAAATTTGTATAAGAGTTTGCTCAGGAAATTGGAAAAGCGTTGGTTATACCAAAGGGTTCACTTTAAACGAGTTTGCTATATCCAAACTTCACTGTATTTACGTAACATAAAGATATAGGTAACGAAATCTACTGTAAGTAATATTCAATTAAATAACTGATGTAGTCTCTATTTTTAATATGATGATGAAGTCTGCCTGCAATAAATTGTTGCATTAGAAGCGAAATATGTTTTCAATTACCCCAAATTTAGCAAGATAGGTAATGTGCTTTATTGTCATCAAAATGGTACAAATTTTTTTGAGGACAAAGCTAGTTATCAATACTAAAATTAAAATTACATAGAAAATTACTATAGCCAATAAAATTATTGTCCACACATTGAGCCACTGTCAAAACAAAAAATATATAGGTTTTACATAGCCAACCTCTGCTCCTTCAAAATTTTGCTTTTAAGGTTCTGATAAAAACATAAAATCATTTTTATAATTAAAAAGCTTGTTAAAAAGCAACATTTCAGCAGTAATTTAACAAATGAAAATTTTTAAGTCAGTTTCTATGGTTAATTCCAAAAACTTACTAAGTATGATTATTGTGTGTTAAAAAATCATCACCTACTTTGAGATCGTCTATGCTACAATTAAAGCAAACTATTTTAGTTCTAGTAACATTTAAAGCTAAAGGTTTGCTTCGAACCATTTCTTAATAAGATCCAACCAAGTCCATGCAAATCATAGTTTCAACATCACAGGATTGTACTGTCATCTGCAAAAATTAAAACCCCATCTATTTCAAGTCTCGGAAGGTCATTAAAAACAGGAAAAACAAAATAGGACCAAAAACTTAGCCCGTTGAGTTTTCCCCATCGGTAATGATAGAGTTTTTTAATGAGTATTGAATTGCTGACCAAATCAAATGCTTTTGCTGGGTCACAAAAGGAAATTAAACGTTGTGTTGTCAGTCCCTGTATTTTTTCGAAAGGCAAATAGAGCATTGCTCAATGCTCTATTGCCTTCCAGAAATGATGTAATGCGAGTTTTGTCTAGTTTTCAATTAATTTCGATAACGTGGGCATCAGAGAAAAGAGATGATCCAGAGCTAGCAGGGTACGCTGCCATATATTTTTTGGATAGTTGATAGTTCTAAAAAATTATTGGTAAAATTAGTATATTTTGAATCAATATTTTAGCTTTAAACTGAAAAGGTTTCAAGTGTCAAGTTCAATTGAGTCAGTCTGTCTTCATGTGCCAAGTCCTGTATATCAGGTGGGTTTTTTATTATTATTGTACAATAGAAAGTGGTTGTCACATATGGGACTATTGATCTAAAGGCGGACACAGACATGCGGTATTCGGCGAGTCTCGAATCACAAATATTTGCTATTCGGCAAGTAGCGATTAGTGTGTATGGGTTGCTCGGTCAAATATTCGCTATAATTGCACGAGCAACCCATACACACTAATCGCTACTTGTCGAATAGCAAATATTTGTGATTCGAGACTCGCCGAATACCGCATGTCTGTGCCCGCCTTAATTGTCTAGTATTTTGTGCTTGTGGGAAACAAAAAAAAATAAATAAAAAAGTCACTGTCAACAATGGGCGTCAGTAAACTTGGAATTGCATTCAATTCACTATCTAGTAATCTAAGTAGTCTATTTTTGAATGTGTTGATAGGGGGAGCTGACACCGTATTTTTTCCAGGAGCACTCTAGTGGTACTTAATTCTGTTCTTGAGGAATTTCTTTCTGAGGAGTCTTACACATAATCTTTGGTTACAGTGAAAAATATCAATTATTTTTTTGTACTTATGACTTCCATCATAGCAGATCAGCTCATTACAACATACACTAATTAGTATATGTATTTGTCAAAACTCTTTATCGAATAGTTATTTTTTCTGAAATCATAAAATATAAGTACAAATACTAAATACATACTTTAAAAATGGAACAAAAATTTGTATTTATATGTTATTCCACAAGAACATTTTTTGGAATTTTGTAAAAAAATCTTGAATAAATTGTGTTTTTACTTCTTCTCAAAAGTGATAAATATCGAACTATGCCCTCTGAACTTCCTGCCACCTCTTACAAAAATATACGTTGAGTAATACAAAATTTACAAAAAACTTTATTATGATCTAGCTATTCTGCAAATGTTTTTCATTCCCACATAATTTTATTTTTAAGCTCAAGAAAAAGAGAGAACTCGAATGTTGGGTAAAGCTGCGATTGGAGGCAAATTTGAACTTGTTGATAGTACTGGACAGTTGAGAACAAGTGACGAATTTCTAGGACAATGGATTTTGTTATATTTTGGTTTCACTCATTGTCCAGATATCTGTCCTGATGAGTTAGAAAAACTGGCCAGTGCAGTAGATACATTAGGTAGTACCTATTTTTTCTATATTCTTATCTACCTATTATAAATATTTTTTGTAGATAAAGATGAAATTGGTGTAAAACTGCAGCCTTTATTTATATCAGTAGATCCTGAAAGAGATACCCCCGCTTTGGTGGGAAAATACTGTAAAGAATTTAGCCCTAGATTATTGGGTTTAACTGGTAATAAGGAACAAGTGGCTGCCGCTTGTAAAGCATACAGGGTGTATTTCAGTGCAGGACCTAAGGACAAAGATAGTGATTATATTGTAAGTATGCATACATATTGGTTCCGAAGATTATTTCAATCATCTTAGTATTGTAATAGTATACACTGCTACAAGGCCAGTCGAACATAAAAATTTTGAATCCTCTAAAATTGTTGAAATAAAGTGAGAAGAAAAATGACTGGTGAAACTCTCAAAAAAAAAAAAATGGCAAGCTTGGCCTTGTTCCTCGCCTTGTTCATAGGAAACTTTTTATAATCTTACTTAATTATGTTATCGAAAGAATGTGAGAGCTTGTCTTATCTATTCACCGGCGTATCCAGCCCATGCGTCTGGGGGGGGTAATCAGCCCATTTTTTCCCGGGTGCCACGCCCAAAAACGTTTACTTTGAGCCTTCAAAAAAAATTTTTTCTACGAGAGTGAGGACAATTAAACAGTGCGGAAAATCGATTTTCTCGCACGGTGCGGCGAATTTTTTTCCGCACGGATATCGGTGCGGAAAAATCTAAATCTTTTCCGCATGGCTGTCAAAAAAAAATCAATAAATGACTACAAATTATGTAGGTATATGCAAGGCAGTGTTGTCAATCTGAATTTGTGAAATTGCACGATATGCTGGTAAAATTACACGTTTTTACACGCTTTCATTTTTCACAATAACACGATTTTGACACACGATCTTGGTAACCAATCTGTAACATCAAGAAGCAAGTATTTTTTTTTGGGATTTTGGGATTTTGGGAAATGGGTTAAATCGTAATGCCCGATTGCACCGTCTCTCTTAACCGAGGCTTAGAGATAACTATTCCTTAAAGTGACATTTTCCCATGCAAAACTGTCAATTTAAGGGATAGTTATCGTTAAGCCTCAGTTAAGAGAGATGGTGCAATCGGGCATAAATCCAGTCAAATCTGAGGGTTAATGCTCCTGATCATAATTCCTCAACGAAAAATAAAAATGTGGCAACTACAGAAAAGCGTTCCGAAAGTAATCGAATTACTTATTACTGGTTCCTGGAAAAGAGGTTACTTTTGTACCTCAGTTTCCTGCAAGGATACTACACACTACTACTATAGGATAGTCTATCCTCATAAGGCCTGTGTAGTTCAATCTGAAGCCGCCGCTGCCATGCCAAAATATCATCAGTGATGACGTAGACAGCGTGTCGTTTCTCGTGTTCACGTAGGGTGTTTGTACCACAGGTTATGATTCCGCGGGCTTTTCCTTTATGCAAAACTTGGTTTCACTACATTAATTAATATTCTGAAACAACTCTTTCTCGTTTTTGGTAATCGCCGCCATATTGGTTTTCAACTGTTTTCAACCATTGTCGACGTCATAACTAAGTTTTCAGCTGTTTAAACAGCCTACGTCAAGGCGAGAAACGCCATGCTGCTTACGTCACAACTGGTTGTTTGGCTAAGGGGGGTAGAGGGGGATTTTTTACAAACAGGCCTTATGAGGATAAGCCATCCTGTAGTAATAGTAGTGTGTATCATCCTTGGGTATATGTACCTACTTATTTCCGCACGTCTGTAAAAAACCTATTGTACCTAACACATGCGAAAAATCTGTCTTCCAAACTTGGCTGCTTCACCGAATTCCGCTACGCGTCTTTGGGTGAACGACAGACTCGTGCGGAAAAATTCATTTTTCGCACTTGTTAGGTAAATATGTTCTGTACTACCAACAAATAACGAAACCGAACTCTGATAGCGAATTCCATTGGAATAAAGGTTAGTGCGCACCGAGTGTATTCGTATCTTATTCTACCAGCTTATATAAGAAAGAGATAAAAATACACTCTTTCGCACTGATTTTACCAATGGAATTCGCTATGAGAATCGCCTAAAACTTTTCAATTATAGGCATAGCGAATTCTATTGGTAGGATTAATACAAAAAATTTATTTATCTCTTTCTTATGCAAGCTAGTAGAGAAAGATATGAATACACTCAGTGTGCACTATCCCTTTGAATAGAATTCGCTATAAATGGCATGCGGGCAGTGCGGACACTGTGCAAACTAGAAAACAAGTTAGGGCCAGTTGCTGAAAAGTAAAAATATAAAAAATAGATTTATTTGTAAGGTGTAGGGTACATTTTTTTCGTCCATCGTAACGATCTTGGGGGGGGGGGTAATTACCCCCATTACCCCCCCCTTGTATACGCCGGTGTATCTATTTCTGGGTATTTTTCATGCTCCCCCTTGGGTACGGCCCTGAACTTAACTTTTCAACACATTTAGCATTCAGTCTTTGAAAAAATTAACTTAAGGTGTTCCTGTAAATTTGCCCTTTCACTTGACTGACCATCTATCTCTAAATAATTCTAATTAACCAGCTAATTACATAAATATTTAAAATTACAATATTATTAAAGTTTTATTATACTCAACATAAATTAAATAGGAATGTTTTTTTTTCCATTTTAGGTTGACCACACAATAATTATGTACCTTGTAGACCCAGAAGGAAATTTTGTCGATTATTATGGTCAAAACCGGACATCCTCTGAAATCGCTACTTCAATTAAGATTCATGTATCCAAATATGAACATAAAAAAAAAGAACAATTTCTTTTGAAGTAAATTACACAAATTGTTGTTAATTCGTTACTTCCTTTGGTTTATGAACGCCTAATTAATTTGTTAATGATAGTGCATTTACAGTTTTATAATAGTGAATATATATATTTTTTTGTTTTCATTGATAATATGGTTTTTTTTATTGATTTATATAAGTACAGGCTGGAATGTTTTTGAGCTGCAGTATTAAATTTGTTTTCAGAATATACCATTATGACGAAACTGTTTTTGGTTTTATTTATTTTAAGTTTAATTGTGAAAAATATGTGCTATGGGGTTAGTATAAGAATAAGAAATGTGTCCAAAATATTAAGATTATCTTGACAAATATGTATAAGCACTGACTATGCTTGTTTCACAACTAAACCAGTTTATTTTTGGATTCACTCAAATGTAGGGAGGAGAATCCTGGAATAAACACCAGCTAAGCCAATGTCCAATTGAAATTTTTAATCAGGTTTGCAATAAATGCACCTTATTTCAGATAAGGCTGTTGAAGATTAGGTGTTTGTCTTGAATTTTGTATTTGTGCTGGTACTTATATACCTATATTTTCCGGAAGGTATTCTTTAAAAATCAAAATAAATCCCAAATCAATTTACCTAATTAGTAAGTTCAAGGTACCATACTTTCTTTGTAAGTCTCAAGTGATTTTTAATACTAATTTAAAATCTCGGATGCACATTTCAATACAAGTATTGGAAATTTAGAAATGTATAGATAATAATTGATGAATACAAACAATTGGTTTCAGTTAACAGAGGCTCAAATGAAAGCCACTACTAAGCTAGTGAGAAATGTATGTCAACCGAAGAACAAAGCCACTGATGGTTAGTATTAATTATAAATAATAATTATAATAATAATTTTTTCTATGTGTATAAAATTTTTAGAACAAATAGCAGGTATGCACGCTGGAAACTGGAACTTGGATAAAAATGGCATGGTAAGTTGTAAAGACTAATTTTACTTGATCCAATTTTGCATATTTTGTAAGTTTGAAACATTTTATGTGCCTTTCAGTGCTATGTGCAATGCGTCTTGAATTACTTCAAAGTGGTAAGAGTTAAATTAATAATACACTCAAAAAAAGTGGGCCATTATTGTTTCAAAGTTGGCTATATTTTGTTTTATCATTTTTGGCTTTTTATTTACACTTTTGATCATATTGTTTTTTGTTTAACCCACAAGGAAACCTTTGTCAATAAAAAATCAAAAGTGTTAACCATAAGCCAGAATAATAAACATAGCAACATAGCCAACTTTCAAAAAATAATAGGTGGCTCATTTTTTTTTGCACCTGATTGTAGAACGAAACAATATTATAATGATTATTACATTTTAGCAAGCACCGGATAATACACTAGATTTAGAAGCTGGACTGGGTGTTATTGAAGTTCAAGCGCCCCCGTCTCTAGCGCCACATGCCATTGAATCGTTAACTCACTGCAAAGATTCAGGTAAAACATATTTAGTGATATTTATCTATAAACAATATTAAAAGTTTGAAAGGTTGTTGAACATTGATTGCTTGTTAAAAAGGCATAACCTTTGACTATTCTTAATTTTCTTATTCTATAGATGGTTTAAGATTTGTCAAATAAGTGGACAGCAACTACACTATCATCTTGCCAATCTGCAATTTCTGATTTTAAATGTATTTTTCTATGTAACAGCTTCAGCTCACAATTTTTTTTTCACAAAAATTAGATAAATATTCCAAAATTTTTTTAGAAGTCGTTCCTTTTGTAGTTTGATCTCCTAAAGTTTGGTATTTTCAAATCATGACTTCACGATAAGCTTTTAAGTCATGTTGATAGAAACGCTGTTCCACCACTTCCACCAGGCTGTATATTGTGTATTCAACTGGTGGTTGGTTCCACAGGTTTGTTCAAAGGAATACTATTTTTCTGTAATTTTACTGTTATTTCTAAAGTAGGGCTCTATAAAAATGGAAACTAAATTTTTCCATGATTTGAGTTCTTTTGTCTTAATTTTTACTTCCGTCCTGCCTGGAAGTTCTAGATAGGTAGATCCCTCGTATATCTCTCGTGTCTGCCGTGATCTCGGCCGTGACTGAAAACCAGGGTATCTTTTTAGACAAAACTAGGATAGAAAATAAACAAGACTGACCCATAGGTGCTCCTTCGACCTGTTTGTCGCTAGTTCAATCGGATATAGTGACTACATCCAGAATGGTTCGTACCTGTCGTTGGAATCGATTTTGATGTCTTTGATGAGATGCTGCGAGTTATTCATGCAGGATGGCGTTTCTTCCGCTAAGGGTTGTAGTACCTTGGTCAGATACTTTTCCAGGCGTTGCCAACGCGATCCGAAAGTGCTTACAATTGGTCGAAAATGTATTTTGGGTAGTCAATATAGTTTGGGGCACCCGCTGGATTTCTTCTTTGGGATGATGGTCTTCTGGGACTCTTGGTCTATGAGCGACTGCTTTATTTTTGCCTTGGTGGTCTTTTCTAAGTATCTTGTCGGATCTCGGTTTGTAGGTATCGTCCTTTTCGCCGTGTAGTCAATCGTGTCGATGACGAGCGTCTCGCTGAATGGTGATCAATGGATTTTGTCTAAGTTCCTTTAATGTCTTTGCTTCTTTTGGCGTGAGGTTTGGTTGTGGAGCCTTGCTGGATTTGAGAGTGTTGTTTACTTCCTGTCTGACTATATCGGCATCGGCTTCCTCGTTTGGAAGGTAGGTATATGAGGGCTACTTCTACACCTGATCAGATCTCCTCCATTGATATGTGCTTTTGTGTGATCCCAAAATTAAAACCTTTGGAAAGCGGTGGTTGTTGGTCATCTGATATAGGGGGTGGTCTGAGATGTTGTTTACCACTTTATCTCACTGATCTCGAAAATAGATGGATAAACAAAGAACGCTTCTAATGCGCAGTAGATACATGTACTGTGCGTGCGCAAAATATAGCCAATGAAAATGAAGGATCTTTCGAAATTTAGAACAGTTGTTCGAAAGTAAGACACTGCGCAGGCGTTAGGCTGTTTCGTTGCACAACTGTTCGTAGAATATTGACGTCAAATTTTCGCACAATTTCAGCCAATCAAGCCGTACGATTGTTTATCCATTTATTTTTGAGATCAGTGCTTTATCTGCGTTACGGTGTCCCGTTTGTCTCCAAGAAACAAGCTGTATCTTCTTCTCGTGCTTCTTTTTCTGGAGAGCAGTATCGTTTATTTCGTCTCTCCGGTGTGAAATTTTATTTAAAAATAATGGGATTGACTGTGTTCCTTAAGTTGTAGATGGTGTTCATATAACGACCATTCGTTCTTATCTAGTTGCCTTCTGGTGTGGCGCATCAGTTTCTTCAAAAGCGCGCGGCTGGCGTTTGTGGGGATTATGTTTGTACCTCGTTCTCGTATGGTAAGACAGTGCATTGCAGGCTGTAGGTGCTTTTCCCGGCATCTGATGAGGAAGCTAAGATCACCCAGGTCCTGCATGTTTCATTGTTGTTATTTCGGTTGCGCATCCGTTGGTTCTCCACACGGCTCTTCACGACTCAGCACAGTGCATCCAAAACATCTCATATCCCAAATCCAAGGCAAATGATGCAAGCCGGCAACACCACAAGACAATATGCGATGCGGATGCGCCGTCCAGCGAGTAAAGTCGAACAAAACCAGGCAACACCAGTCTATCATCTGCGCAGGCACAACTCTATAAAAGCAGACTCAAACAGTCTGTCGGATTCCAGACATTAATCGAGAAGGAAGAAGGCCTGGAAATACGATTTTGGCACGTCAAGAACCGAGTCTTTCCCAACGCTCTGCAGATACGTGAAGTCTAGGACGCAGTCCTTGTTTGGGAATTGTCCTGCTGATTCTTGGATAATACCTACCTGGGGAAAAACATTTTACAAGTTCCATTGCCAACGGAAATTTAGATCAGTTACTGTAATTCAATGCCGCTAGGGGTATTTTCCAAGGGTAACGACCACTCCGATTGTTTCTAGCTCGTCGACAAGCACGGGCAGTTAAAACAATTAATTGGGTCAAATTAAAATAGTACGTAGGCCAATCAGGAGGTTCGTGAAATGCTGTAGCGACGCGATGAAATGTAAAGATCATAAGCTCATAAGCCACATGGCGTCCATGGCGAGCAGTGACCTACATAATGACTAAAATTTCTTATAGGAAAACAAAAAAAGGAGTTCTAAAAACTCATATTTTCAAAAAAACATGCGCGCAAGCAGGGAACAGTAGCAAACAAACAGTAGATAGAATTTCAACAACAGTTTAATAAAAAAAGAAAACAAATCAAAATAACCTGATGGTCAATAATCGAATAATAATAATAATAATAATAATAATAATAATAGTTTATTTGTGTGCTAGATTACAAAGGTTTACAGTTTAATTAATTCGGTATATCTACAAAATAAAATATCTTGGCATAGAAACCTTCGCCATCGCACAGGATAAACAAAATACCACGAAAGATGAACTTGTCTGTGGCTCTATTCATCCACGCGACGCAAATGATCTTACCATATAGAGGGCTCTCACACAGGAGATGAGCCCTTTCAGTGTTTATTAAAAGCAATAACTTATGCAATTGAAGCACAACATCTAAAAATAAACACTAAAAGTCTAAGTCTAAAAATTAAAACAAATCAAAAACAAAATCAACTAAATCTAAAGCAAAAATATAAAGACAAATCGAGTAACTGAAAACATGAGCAAGTTATAACTGGTTTTTGAAGTCTATAAGATTATGTATATGACACCTTGGACAGCTCAGCATCCAGTTTCTAACTGAAACTTTGAAATTTTTCAGTGTTCTTTGTTTTTTTATGTTTTCGGGCAGGTAATTGAACACCCTCGGTCCTATGAACATGCTACTACGTTGCCCTATAGATTTTTGCATTCTTGGTACTCTGATTAAGTTTCTTTGTCTCGTGTAAACTTGAGTTCGAGGTGTAGTACAGTCACTCTGAGTTTTATACCAAATTATTGCCAGTTGTTTAAAATAAAGTTGTCTGATATCAAAAATCTGATTATCTCTATAAAGTAAATCTGAAGGATATAATCTTTCTTTATTGAAAATTATTTTTAAAATCCATTTTTGACTGACATTGACAGAATTAAGATGTTCATTTAACACTCCACCCCAAGCCACATTACCGTAGGTTAAATGTGGTTCTACCAAAGCTGAATACAATATTTTTAGCTTTTTGGAATCTAGGATCCTTCTATAGTATTTAAATTTGTATACCAAACACCGAAGTTTTCTATTGACATAGTTGATATGGTGGTTCCACTTAAGGTGGCAATCCATCATAACCCCTAGATATTTTACCGTACTAGTTCTTTTTATGACAAAAGTATCGTTTATTTTTAGCTCATTGAACTCGGGTAGATATTTGGCGTAAGAGGTGAAGGGCATAAAGGCCGTTTTATCCCAGTTTATGGTCAATTTTTTGCTAGCAAAAAAATCTACAAAGCTAGAAAAGTCCTGTTCAACTGATGTCTTCAGATCCTGCCAGTCATCAAATGCATAAAAAAAGACTCCGTCGTCCGCAAAACAAAGCACCTCTCCAATAGTATCGATTTCAAAAATGTTGTTAAGAAATACTATAAAGAGAAGAGGACCAAGAACAGTTCCCTGGGGAACGCCGCATTGTACTTTAGTAAAGGTGCTCAGTTCTGCACCTATCTCAACACACTGCTCTCTATCAAGAAGGAAACTCTCAACAAGCTTTAATACTCTACCTCCAAATCCCAGCCGATCCAAAGTTTTCAATAGATCTTGATGATCCACAGTATCGAAAGCTTTGGCCAGATCAACAAAGATGCACAGAGCCGGCTTTTTGCTATCCACTGCTTCGTAAATCTTCCTTGTTAAATGACCCAGTGCATCTTGTGTCGATCTGCCCTCTAGAAATCCATACTGTCTCTCACTGATTAGACCATGTTTTTTCAGGTGGTTCAAAAAACGTTTTTTCAGTAGTTTTTCCAGGAGTTTGGAGAAGCCAGAAAGAATAGATATAGGCCTGTAGTTATTAGCGTTGCACTTGTCGCCTGACTTGAAAAGAGGTTTAACTTTAGCTATTTTTAATGGTTTCGGAAATATCCCATGCTTCATCGATAAGTTGCAAATATGCACTAATGGATCAAGGATTAATTTATTATAACGTTTTATAAAATGTGTTTGTATATTGTCCAAACCAGGAGCTTTATTTGTTTTCAAGTCTCTCACCAATTCTGTCAATTCCTGTTTGTTTGTGAAGTCAAGCGATAATTGTTCATTGATAATTTTCTGATGAAATTGCTTTTCCGGCTGTTTTATTTTCGATGCTAGTTTAGGACCTATTTCACTAAAGAATTTATTAAAATAATTCGCTATATCTGTATGTTTTATGAGGTATTTCGCTTCTTCGGTTTTTATTAGCTTTATTTCAGTACTTATCTTTACATTTTTTTTCCAGTTTATTTAAATTTATCCACAAATTCTTTGGACAGTCTTTATTTATTTCAATTTGGTTTTTATAGTAGTTTACCTTTGTTTCTTTTATCAGGTGATTTGTCATATTTCTGTATCTTTTGTATTCCCTAAGAAAATCCTCATTATATCCACTATTTTTGTATTTTTGATACAACTCATGTTTCTTATTTACGGACACTAGGAGCCCATTTGTTATCCAGGGAGTTCGCTTGAATTCTGAGTGGCGTATTTTAATTGTGGTTTTACAAAGAGAAATGCCGTTATTTATGTTTTTATAAAAAATGTTCATGCATTCATCAACATCCTCACATCCATAAAAATTCTTCCAGTTAACTGATTTGAGTGTCTTGGTAAGTTTGTCATGGGCAATGTATGTTTTTGTCCTGCTTCCTGTATTCTGGATTTTCTCATTTAGCTGCCCTGAGAGGTTACTTATTTTTAATAGAATAGGGTAATGGTCAGTGATGCGACCCTGCAAAATCACCGGCACTAAAGTGAGATTTGTATCCTTGAATCTAACAAAAATATGATCCAAGCAGGTCCCTGTTTCAGGTCTTGTTACATCATTTATTGTTGATCTAAACCGGTGCGCACTCAAAAGATTCAGATATTCATTCACACACTCATCCCGATCATCCAGCAAGTTCATATTTATATCCCCAACTATGACATCCACATCCGACTTCAAGTTCAACGATTCTAAAAAATTTAGGAGGTTGAGGTTAAATTCATCTCTATCCAAAGATGGTGACCGATATATTGAAATAATTCTAAATTGTTTTTCCTTAAAAGCAATTTGAGTCAAAATAATTTTTATACTTCCCATGAGTATGACATCACTTTGGTGACTTAGACTACTCTTTAGATAAATAACTGTACCATCACATTGATTCAATGAACCGTAGTTGTACACCATATCATAGCCCGGGATGCTCAACAAATTGAGTTCACAGAGCTGCCTAGTTTCTGTTAAAATGATGCAATCGAATTGAAAGTTTATTCCTTCTAACAAAACCTGCAGAGCTGGCAAGTGTTTTGGTAAACTTCTAATATTTTTATGAAATATACTAAAGCTCACGTTTTCATCTCTTAGCAAATTCTGACATTCTTTCATGGACTTTGCAATGTTTGTATTTATATTCTCAGGTCTAAAATTTTGAATATAAGCTTCCATTTTTACTTACTAAATATATCAAATACAGACGCTAAAACTAAAAAATAAAATAAAAAAAATAAAATAAAAATATATACAAAAGAATAAAACTATTTAAAAAATATATATATATATATATACTGAATTAAAAATAACATGCAAAAGGTAACGATTTTACTGACACACAGTTGATGAAAAGTACAGACACAAATCACAAGATTTAAAATGCTGAAAAGTTACCTCTACTTTTTTATTGTTTTTGGGAGAATTCCTGGAGATTGACCTGTCTGCTTCAGAAGTGACTTACTTTTAGTGCTCTTGTCCTCTGTTTTTGTTTTGTTGTCTGACCTGTATTTTGAATCTGCCAAGTCTTTGCTTTTGGTTCTGGTCAGTCTGGGGCTTGCCTTCTTCAAGTTTTCAATTTGTGGTAGCTTTTTCGGTGGCTCCTCAGAAAACACTTCGGTTTCTTGATTTTCTTCAAATTCGTAATAGCGTAATTGATGAGTTGGAGTAGCTGGTGCACTGCTATGCTTGACTTCCTGAACCTCTATATTCTCGTCAAACTCAGTGCCTTCCTCCAATGCCTCCACCGAATACTTATCTCCGTTAATCAAAAGGAAAGATCCCTTGATATTTGCCTTATGTCCTTTTTCAAGTGCTGCCTTTTTATGTTTGACCAAAATCTTCCTTTCTGCTCTTTCTTCGGGCGTGAGGTCGTCGCAGATGCTTATTTGCGTGCCTTTTAGCTTTTTGCACTGCCGCAGAACTTCTAGTTTTGTAAGAAACGACACGAATTTAACCACTATTGGACGTGATTCTGCACTTTTTCCAATTTGGTAGATATTATCACAGTCCGATATTTTGAGACTAAGATCCAGCAAGGAATTCAAAGACGTTACAACGAAGTCCGGCCGACTAACGGATTGATCGTATTGTAAACCAAATATGATTATGTTGTTTTTCTTAAAGTTTCTTTGTATTTGTTCGTTTAGAGTAATTTGTTGTTTCTGAAACTTTTCCAAATTTTCGCGTTTTTCGACTTCACTCTGGACTGATTTCTGTAGAGCCGCGACTTCTTCGTTGATTTTTTGCACTTTCGTCTTTATTTCAATTTTGATAGTTTCTGTCTGCGTACGGTTTTCTTGTTTTATAAATTCGGTGAGTTTCAAAAACAGTGCATCATTATTATCATTCATTTTGCTCCGTATATGGTAAACTTTATTTCCGTAGTTAATATTTTTTCGAATGTTTATATTTCCGAGTTATATTGCATTATTGATTTAGGTACCTATTAAGATAACCTTGAGCGGAAAATTACTGTGTGCGAACTGTGAACGCGTTTTTTTAACGATTCTATTGTCTATTGTATTTGTTGCATTAAAATCAATGCCGAAATATTCACTGTTCACTGTAATTGAATAATACACACTTTTAGTTCAATTATATGTTATTAATTTGTCGAAATTCGAAATATTTCACGGAGCGAAATTATAACACGCTCAACCACCTAAAGGTCGACACACACCGAATATGGAGGATAAGCGATACTTACAATAGTTAAATGAACATTTTGAACAAATTATTGGTAAAATTTTTCTTAAAGAACTGAAATGAAGTTCAATTGTTGCAGCTTAGGTGAAAGTTTAGTGAGGTGGGCTGTGAAAATAGTATGTTCATAGAATTGCACTCTTAAACCATAACAAGACAGTCAGTCTCTGCAGTCATATTTGTCAGTTTCCGTGTAGTGTGTAGTAGAGTAGAGCCGCAGAAACATTGTGAAAATAGCTTTACTTTTGATATGAACTACTTATTTTATGTAGAAGAAATACCTAGTGTATGATATCCATAATGCCGCGGCCGCCCAATCTTTCATTCATCCATAATATATTATGGTGTTAACAGAAATTTTAAATCGTAAATGAAGATTTTCCGTTATGTATAAATTAAAAATAATATCCATACACTCTCACATTAGGCAAAAAAAATATTTAATGTTAATTATTGTGATTCTCTTGCAGTTAAAACTCCAAATGACAAATGCGTTGCTGCAATGGAAATAGCCAAATGTATCTACGATTATAATCCTGCGGTAAGTTCAATTTTTAGTTAAAAATCATATAGTTACACAGAAAAAAATAATTTAGTCACTGATTAGTTCGGAACTGCACTATTTTCATTGAACTAGCCATGGTCGCTTGAATAAGGTGTGTTGTTATGCAGTTTACCAGAGCGATGTTTGATTTGAAAATCGTACTGTTACAACTTCTTCATCGAAAGCTGAAAGTCATCAGAACGAGTGCGCGATCTTAGCCGTACTTTACAGTATCGTTGAACGTGTCCTCTTCTTCCGCAGCGGTAACGTAAGGTGTCCGCTTTCAAGATCCTAATTGGAAGCTGAGAGTCACGAGAGAGAGCAAGATTTGAACCGTACTCTACAGTCACGCTTAAAATGTGCTCGTAAAATTCGGTTTTCCTTTTTAGGCTCCCTTGATTGATCCTAATAACAACCCGTAATTCTTCCAGAAGTTCTTTCATATGTCTTTAACTTTTCCTATTGTTTTTTTTTATTCTTGTAATTTCACATTTCTGATCTTTGACTTGAGGCTTGGATAACATTAGGCTTCGATTTCTAGGGGTTTGATTAGAGCTTTGCTGCTACTTGTTGTTTGGTTATGAGTAGCACTCTCTGTATATATCCATATCTCCATTTCCATTGATGAAATTGTCAGTCGCAGATGTTCTCGCGCGCATTTCGGCAGTTGCTTTGGGGTAGGTGAAATTGACCAAACCGCGGATATCAGTTGTAAACTTTCGACCTTGTAGGCTTTCGACCTTGTAGGCTTTTGACCGTGAAGGCTTTCGACCTTGTAAGCTTTCGACAGCTTTCTATGTCGTAGTTAGCTAATCTTCTTCACGATCTTTTTCTATAGCATTCCTGAATTCATTATCTTGCCCTTCCTGGATTTTCTCGATTCTGATTTGTTCCTCAGAAATTAGGCGCGGTTTGAATCCATTCTCGCTGAAATTTGATTTTTTTCCAAAACCGGTCCTGTTTCCCTTGTTTTTCTTTCAGTCTTCGGGCTTCCTCTACTTGTTTTTTTTTTTCGATCTCCGATCTTCCTGTTGATGTTGCAGAGGTCTGTATGCCGGTCCTTATATTTTTGTGTTTAGGCTCAAGAATTTTAAATGGCACAAGAGGTATTTTATCCAGTTAACAACGGTGATTAATGTAGAATTACCGTTTTTCACTTTTAACCACCAAATTTTTGTAGCCATTTGTTCTTGTAAGCGCGCCAGGAAGAGTTCTCGGAATGGTGTATTCTATGGAAGAAATAGAGGAATTTTTTGCTTGTGTTATTCAAACAATGATTGAGCAAAGCTTCAGCGCGAATTTTCAATCTATACCATTTCCAGCATTATTTCACACTAGTGAAATTGGATTTCAAATTAATGAAAACTAAATTCACATCAGTGAAATCTAATTTCGCTCAAATGAAAACTGATTTCAAAGTAACGAAAACTAATTTCTCATAAACGAAATTTGATTTCACATTTTCGAAAATGAATTTCAAACTAACCCTCACTTTTCAAACAATTATTATTTTATTTTGAAAAAAAATCAACATCGTTATTTATTTCAACCTAATGAAATAAACCCACTGAGCTAATATAGATAACATAAAATACAATCATGAACCAACAATATTAATTTTAAATTATTTAAATAAATTGAACTTCAATTGAGTCTTCTCACTCTTAAGACAGCTGCATTATACCTTTCCACGTGATTTGCAAAACTGAAGACAAATTTATTTATGGACGACCCACACTGTAAGAGCTTATTACGTAACTCATATTAGTATGTTTGAGTTACGTAATAGATTGTATTATCGTACTTAGTGATGTAATAAGCTCATAACGAAACTCATTACCATTGAAAAACGGCACTTTTTAAAATTACTTTATTCGGAAAAATTATAAATTTAGTCTATTGTAAAAAATTAAAACTATTTCGAATACATACAAAAAAATCTCGGTCGTACATAAAATGTTGTATATCACACGTACGGTAACGCTCATTACACCACTCGTGTGATTACCACGACTCGGTCTACGACCTCGTCTTGGCAATATTCCCCACTCGTTACTGTAATGAAGCTGATACCGCACTAGTGATATAAATAACTATTAAATAATTCAAAATTATTATTGTTGTTTCATGATTGTATTTAATGTAATCTTAACTCAGTGGGTTTATTTTAATAGGTTGAAAGAAATTACGATGTTGATGTTTTTTCAGAATAATAATTGTTTGAAAAGTGAGGGTCAGTTTGAAATTCATTTTCGAAAATGAGAAATTAAATTTCGTTTATGAGAAATTAGTTTTCGTTACTTTGAAATCAGTTTTCATTTGAGCGAAATCAGATTTCACTGATGTGAATTTAGTTTTCATTAATTTGAAATCGAATTTCACTAGTGTGAAATAATCCTGGAAATGGTATATATCATCCGGAAAGAAATGTAAGTCATCAGTATCTTATACCCAACTGATGAATAAGTTTCTTGCAACTGGTTCGCTTCTATAAACAAAAAAACGAAGAGCACCGCCCAATTCGAAATAAAGCAATTGGAGTGACAGTTTTGGCTCATTTGCAAATGCATATTGCATGAAATAATTAATTAAAGCACTGTCTCAAGCTTATGGTATGTATAGGTATCTGCATCCCCCGAATTGTGAATGTCACAAGTTTCGACCTTTTAACATGACGCTGGTTCAGAAGTTGAGTGAAGATAATTGTGATCGTCGTATTCAATTTTGCGAGTATTTCAGTGAACAACTGCGTCTGAACCCAAATCTCCACTACAGCACCTGTTTTTGAGTACCGTAAGGTGGGGGTACTTGCAACAGTGGCACAACTTGCAACAATATTCATCGGGTGGAATTTTTGCTTTCCCCCTCCTCTCGCTTGAGTCGCGCGTCAACCGCTAACGTGTTACCGTTTAGTACGGATCAGTAGGATGAAATGTGAGTAGGTTTAGCGTTGAAAAATTTTAAACACGAAAAATTTGGCGCCATTTTCTGACAGCTCTGGTAAGTGCTCTAAATTGTTGCAATATAACTTCTCCTGTGCAGAGCTTATTTACCCTAGGATTTGTATCAAATTTGGATATGATGTGCTTGAATGCTTAGTCTAAAACATTGAATATCTAGTTTTGAGTTAAGTTTGAAGGTTTTCGTAAATAGATTTTTTTTTAAATTGCATGTACAAAAGTGGGTAACTTGCAACATGCCTCGCAAATACAAAAAACAGTTAGGGAGTAGGACCTACCGTAATTATTCCAACGAAACTTTGGATAATGCATTAAGGGATCAGGGATTCGGGAAGCATCGCGAGAATTCGGGATTGATTCATCAACGCTTTCTCAGAAAAGAAGAAACTTGTTTCCCCTTGATCCTAGTAGGCAGCCTGTATTTCCAGAAAGAGGAGGAAAAATTGACCAAAATTGGCCAAAATTAGCCAAATTTATTTTTTTTAAATATTTTGTGTTGCAAGTAAGTTAACACGCGTTCCTAAATACAATTACTACTGAAAAAAGCCACTTGTTGCAAGTATCCCCTTGCAGGTGTTCAACTTGCAACACCAAGTTTTTTTAAAAAAATTATATCAAATAATAATGTTGTTCAAAGTTTTTTGTTAGAATCGGATACTAGACCACAAGACTAAAATTTTGGCACCAATTAGGTCAAATTTGAGAAAAAAATAAAGAAGGTATCGGCAAAAGAATTTTGAAAATTTTGCAACTAACCCCACCTTACGGTACCAATGGAATGTTGGGCAACGACGATAATTTAAAAGAAAATGAATTTACAAGACCGTGCATTCCTCACTATGCTACAGCTTTTGCTGTGCGGCAATTTTTGGATGAGCGCTTTTATATAGGACATTGAAATTTTGTGCCACTGGCCACCCAGATCACCAGATATTTTCTTTTGGAGATATCTTAAATCGCGAGAGTACGCTACGCAACCTGAGACTGATAGAAGCTGAAGTTTTCAATAATGGGGTCAATTTTGGGTAATTAATTAAATAAAAACTTGTCTTTGTTTCCCACCGCATAACAGAGAATCAAAAGCACAAATCTGGTTGGATAAAAATACCTCCCTGCCATTCAAAGTTCTTAAGATATGGGGGTATCGTTTGGAGGTTATTTTCTACATTGCAGTTCCCCCTCAGAATCTATTCTGACGTACCTATTTTGGAACCTTTCCGGAAAATCCCTAAATCTCAAGGACAGGGGTGAGAGGGAAATCAAGTTTTCGTTAGATTACCCCGTATGTATTGAAAATTCAAAGAACTGCCTAATAATTCAGTGGTGGGACTCCGTGCTGTGTAGAATTCGACATATCGAAACATATCCGAATGCCGCACATAGGGCCGAGCCTATAGAATCCTGTCGATACCTATGTAGAATTCTACATGACACGGAGTCCCTGGGCAGGTATAGTTTCTACCTTTGTGCATGTAGTTTTGAATTAAATATAGCTGCCGCAATAAAATGAGCAGCTGTAGGCTCGAGGAACCGTTATATTCTAGGTATCCTTAACTTTCGCAATCGTAGACATGGCCAATGGCCTTATAAAGGAATAATAATTTAACATAAGAGCGAAAAAGTACTGATCTGATGGTGTAACATCCTATAATTCTTTATGGAGTAGGCTGTATTTTGTATAACAATGCATATTCTGATAAGCCTCACTTGCTCTATTTAATTACACGAGTGTAGTCAATAGTTCTATACTAGTTACTATGTAGTTACTTCTTCTATAGAGGTATCTTGTACTGTATCTAATATATTTTATTATTTCCAGAAATACTTTTTGCCTTGAGATATGGGCTTCGCCAACTCCCAAAAATGTAGATACAAATGGTTATAGATTTAAATAGGAGAAATTTATTAAATACGATTTATTGAAAAAAGATAACAAATAAAATGATAATAATGATTCATGTTTTTTTTTTGCGACCCCTTTTGGGATTAATTAATATAGAATTGGGAAAACCGACATGAGTTTTGAGAGCATTTTTA